ATATATTATATATTCAGAAACAATATTACTTCCACTGACATTTTTAAATAAAAAGAAAAAAAATAGAAAAATAGTGCTTATTTCTTTCTAAGAGCTGAGTACCTTGTGTATGTTTTTGAGATGATTTCAGTGCTTGTTCTCTGAATGTGTGTGCTTGAGTGGACTGCCTCTATAGTCTTTAGGACTTTTCAAGCTGGGTGAACTGAAGTGTTATGACTGATGTTTTTGTTGTTGTTGTTGTTGTTGATGTAAATTGCTTCCAGTATGTCATGTAAAAAAACCTAATTTTGAAAATGAGTCTGCAAATGTGACTCCTCTTATTTTGACAGTTTACTACAATCTAGACACGAAAAAGAAAATTCCCTGCTGTTAGTGCATTTTAGTTGCATTTTTTAATTTTGCTACAAGCAGAAAGTGCAACATTAGAAATAAAAATGCTGATGTGCTGGTTCTGTAAGTACTGTATATTTTCCGCACTGAACTATGGCTATACAAATACTTAATGTGCAGATGAGTTTATAGCATGAAGAACTAAAGCTGTGTATTTAACAAATGGCCTTCTCTGCTCTTCAAGTCTGTCCCTTCAGGCCAAATATTTCCAGTCTCACAATTAGAGGATAAGTTCTATACATTTATGGAAGTTTGAAAGATTGTATTATGGTGAAAGCGTTATCAGGTTACTTCTTAACAACACGGTTGTACTGTACAAAAGCAGTCTTTCAAAAATGGTTTGTTTTTTTTTCTGAAGCACAAGCTAGTTGTTTATTTTGTGTGAGGATATGTGAGGTTTTTTGCTCTTCTATTTTAAAATAAAAAAAAAGCAAGCCTTGATTATATTATTTTCCAGTATGTATGAATTTGTGTGTGAAATAAGTGTAACAGGATAAGACAAAATACATTTCATGCTAACATTGACCCTACTTGTAGGTCGTTAACAAACAAAAAATCCTGAAAATGTAATATTAATACAAAAAATCGTTTATAGAAATGGACTTACAAAGGAAAACTAGGTAGCTCCTTAAGTTAAGAAAATAAGTAGAATTGTAAAGCACATTGAGAGTAAAGTAGTAGTGTTATATATGAAAGTTGATTTTTTAAAAAATAAATCTTTTAGCTGTAGAAAAGTTCTGAACAGCATTATCTTTCTTGCAGACATTACTCCTAGTCATAAAATAATTAGTTTTAACTTACTGTACTTTGCTTACCTTCAGGTTCACAGTAATAGATCAGTCAGTATGTCTGTGTTGTGAGGCTGCAGCAGCTCTCTGGCTGGTACATCCTTCTATCAAGGATACTCACTAAATTGCAAAAATTTTCAGAATAAGTCTAGCAACTGCTATGGAGTTGTATCTTGCTTGTTTGGTTATTAGCAGAAAAAAACAATCTTGAAGGCAAAGACCCTCTGCTGTCTTAGCTCCTGTGAAATGTTTTAAAGGCAGAAGAGCTGCGAGTGCTGGGGTCAGGAGAGGTGGGACAAAATATGCCTCTGCGTCACTACGGCAGGGGCTGGGAAGTGTGAGGATTCATTATTTTCATCTGCCGCCTTTCTACTATGAGCAGAAATAATCTATTGGAAATAGTCTGGTTCCAGATAAAAAGCTTGCTTTTGGTCCCAATGCCTAGCAGGCATAAGGGTTGCCATGTAAACACTGACAGCATGTTTCTCTGACTCCGAATGCAAAATTAAAATTATGTTGACAAGTCAAGTGGATAAAAGTGAAGTATTGTCTATTTGTGAGCTTGCAGTTGTCAGGATAAGAGGTTTGCACTGTGAAAGGGAAGAAAAGTCAATCAACAGCCCCAAGGCCATAATAAGTGGCAATTCATTTTGAGCCAGCATCCACACAGAATTTTCTGGATTTTTGAGAGAGAGCATGTTTTGAAGCAGTAGGTTACTTGTTTAACTGAGGTTTTGGTCAGAATGTTGAGGTCACCAGTCTGAGTTCCAGCAACATCTTCATCAGGATGAGAGGAGGAAAACTGACGGGCAGTGAAATCGGTAAACTATTTTTCGTATTGAAGAACTGATTAAATATAATGTAATTATTTGTATTCAGGGAATACATTTATTCAGGTATTGAGCCACACTGTGCACAAGGTGTCTGTAGGCTTTGCTAGATTATTGTTATAATTGCTGAATGAGGTATGTTCTGTTTGCCATGCCTTGTCTCTTGACAGATTGTTCTTGTGAGATTGGAATGGGAAGATTACTGGATTTTAAGGAATACTTATTGTAATTAATCTAACTACTTTAATAAAATAATCTTTATAAAATACAAATTTTTAACACTTCCCTCCAGCACCAGTAACTTACAGCTGAATTGCTTGGCTGTCATAGGCAGTTTGAAATACCTGCTGTTCAAGACAGGGTTGGGTTTACGTATGTTTGATGTCATCCATAGTTTGGCTTATAAGGCAAGATGACAGGGATATTTATAATTTGTATCTAACCATAAAATCTTTTCTCTTGTGTGATTGCTAGTGCCAAAAGGAAGAAGGCCACTTAAGTTTCCATTAGAAAAGGAAGATAATGTTCCCAGCTGCTTCTGATTTTGCCAGCACCTTTATAAATATTGACCTTTGTAGCAAACATTGTAATATGAACATAGGGCCTGGGAAAATGGTCAGCATAAAGGAAGTGACATTTTATTGGGAAATGCTGATGGTATTTCTGGAAAATGTGAACTTTAAAAGAGACTTGCAGAAGGAATAATTTCTGAACATGAAATTGCCGGTTTCAAATGTTCAGACACACAGGACAGAAATGCAAGCAGGAAAACAAGTGGGTAGCAAAATGGGAATTGGGAAGAGGTAGGTCAGATGAACTCTAATGAAAGCAGGCTGGTCTGTGTTGCATCTTGTGATGAAGGGTGGTCGTCGTTTACTCTGAGGTGCCTAAAAACGCCTGTGAAATAGTAGTGAACAGGAGGTACTTCTAAAAGTGGAGATAAGGGTGAAATTATTTTTCAGGAGTGTTAAGGTGAGGACAAATGAGAAAGCAGATGCATTACCATCATGAGGGCAGAACTGTCTCTCCAAAGCTGCAGCTAGCTTAGCCTGGAGGAGATGCAGAAGGGCAGCCAGAGGAAGGGGGCTGGTTGTCAAGGTGTGCTGCAGCCTGGACTAACAAAGGTGAATGCGGTGTGAAGATTGCACAGGGGTATGGAGAGAAATCATATAGTGAAGTGAGACACTGAATGGGAATAGGAGAGATACCCTTCACACGTGTTGGGATTTAAAAAAAACTATTTTCTAGCAGGAATGAAGCAAGGAAAGGGCTGATGAGTACTTGATTTTGGAGCAAAAATCACTGTTCACGTAAGCATACTTTTTTGAAAAATCTTACATATGTAGGTGGTGCTGCATGCAAACTAGATGTGCTGGGTAATTTTTGTGAGTTAGTGGTATTACCAGTGGTACTATGACACTTCATGATCTTACTGGGGAAACAGTTGATTCATCAAAGTGTGATTTGCGTGCTAATTATAACATCGCTAATTATTGTATTTAAAAGAAGTACGCAGACATATTGGCACCTTTCCTCCTTGCCACCTACCTTAGAAATACTTCTTAGTTTTCAACAGTAAATGTTGCACAGCTGAACTTCTTCACATATCAGTGACTTAGACTTTAAGTAGAAATGGTAATAAAAATGGCTTTAAGCAGCTGCTCCTTATTTGTATTTTCCCCTTAACTGTAACGGTTAACGACAGCATGGTTTCTTGAGATAATGCTTTATGGCATGGAAGCACCTTGTTTGGTGTGTAGAGATTACAAAATCATATTGTTGTGCATAACAGCTCAGCTATAAATTAGCCCCAAGCAGAATGTGATGTGGTCAGCTAACACTCTCTGATCTGCGTTTCACATGCGGTGCTCTGTTAGCCTGCTCTATATTTTTTCCATTCTGTTTCCTGAAAATCTTTTCCAAAACACTTTACTGACCTTTTTTTTATTAATTACAAATATCCATATTTCTGTTCTGGTTTGTTTTCCTGCAGGCAGCATCATAAAATCTTAATCAAGTGAAAATGGCCTTTAGCAATTTGACATCAAAGGCTGTACTACTGTATGATGAATGGATTAAAGATGCCGGTGAGTCATTTAAATCTAAAACTTACTAACTTTCAATAATTTTGAATAGCAATGTGTAGATATTCTAGGGGTGCTGTTTATCAATTTCAAGTAGCTTTGTCTTCCTGTAAATGTTTCTAAGACTTGCCAGGTTTCTTATTGACATTTTTAACTGTAATGAACAGGCTACTGTCTGCATTTTGAAAAAGGAAAAAAAAAAAAAAAGAAAATGCAGCTGGCTTATAACCTCAGACTAAATCAAGTGCAGGCAGTGATTCTTCTGTAAGAGTTTCTGGCTTGCCTGAATATATAGTTTACGTTTTTCCTGTGCTGCTGAATGTAAAGCTTTAACTCTTTTTCATTACCAAACAATGGTGTTTTATCAGTTAATTGAGCTAGATGCACGGTGTTACTGTATTTTGCTTTTGCAAAGTGAAAAGTTACAGTATCTTAAAATTAATCCTCAGAGTAATTAATTCTGTCACGGTTCTCTTTTGAAAAAGAATGTTAGTCTTTTGTTGCAGCTGGTATGAAGATATTAAACACACTTGGCTTTAATGTTGTTCTTCTCTAGTTCTGCATACTTATCAAAAAATAAGAAAGAAGATTTCAAGTTTGGGGTTAAGACCCATCTGTTGCAGTGGCACCCCTGAGTGTTCCTCACTGTGGTAGGCGCATAGTGACAGGGCTTAGCTGACTCCTGGGGAAAACTTGAGAAGCAGTTAAGGTTTGGTCAATAAAAATACTAATTTATCTTTTTCTAGTATAGCTGAGAACCATTTATCTTGTTCTGTAGAACCACAGCATTCAAGTGAGAAGGGATTTTTATCAGTATGACCTGTGGGGTGAAGTGGGTTGGGATAGAGCTGGATGGTGGAGTGTTTCTGCTGCAGTGTCCATGACTTCAGAATTAAGAGTTCCGCGTCTCCCTGCCTACCAGTCCTTGTATATGGCATTTCGTAGCATACTGTTAGTGATGGGACATGGTTTCCTCAGGAGCAAGCTGGGAAAGTTTTGGTAGTACCAGTGCTGGATGCAGAAAAAGCAGTCAGTTGTGAAGACAGGGTGATCCTCTTGCTGTGCAACACATCCAGGTGCCTAGTGCTCTGGTTCATAATCTCTGTTGGTCTGTGGGCAGCAGCACTGGGCACATTACAGGCTGTGAGCGGCATTATGATGCGCTTTCCTCCTCAATCTGTTCTAAAACTTCTAGTAACTGTAAATAATATCAGAGGGTCCCATGGGTGATAGGTTGCTTGAATGCTGTGGGTTGCAAATCGCTGACTTAAGACTTTTGGACATGAATTAAACACTTAACAAAAACTGAAGTGGTACAATTTCACCCCCAAAATATAGCAGCAAACCATGAAAGCAGCAGTTTTCTGAAACAATAGCTAAGTTTGGGGTCACTCAGGAACAAATCTTCCAAAAGTCAGATTATAAAAAGAATACTTAAAAAAGTAAATGAATTCATCTCAGTTCTCCTGCCTATGTAGAAATGTGGAAGTCTTTGGTGAGCTGGGACTCGGTGATGAACCACAGAAGGGCGAATCACGGTGAAGCTCAGAGGGAGCACCTGCCAGCCTCAGCTGCAGGGAGAGGGAGTGGGGCATGGGTAGGAGGAGGTCTCTGCAATCCTTCTGTCTGGGGTAACTGGAGAGGAGCTTGCAATGCTTTTGCTGTTTGGAGGCTTGTAATGTGAAAGTGTGTGTTTTATGGTGCTGTGAAAGTAGTGATGTGCCTGGGCTGAACAGGCACAAGCCTCAAGTGCTAAGCTATGAATACCAACTGATGGGACAGAAGGTCGTCTAACTTTAAAAATCCCTGTACTTACTATGTGTAACGTTGTACTGCTTATAAAGCTCAACGATCTTGAAAAGTGGGGTTGCTCCCTGGCTGTGACATGAACTGTGAAATAAGGTTCATGCTTTTCCAGAAGAATGAAGTCTCACAGGGAAATGCAGCCTCAGTGATCTCTGCTTGTGTGTTGCGTTCCTGCGCTGCCCTCTGAGCCCTGTTCATGTCTGAAAACACAGACTTTTCAGGAAGGAGAGCTCTAGACAGAAAAGCGCATCACTCATGGTTCTATGTCTCATATTCATTACATGTGAAGACTTGATGCAGAAAGAAGCAGGTGCTAAATCTTGTTATCCAGTCCGTATGGATTTGAGGCAAATGGACTCTGAAACATGATCAGTGACAGCAAAACTTAAACCATTAAGAATTAAGTACCTTTCTGCAGATGTTTTAGGATTTAGTAAACACTGGAAAGATCTGATTTCTTTTTTGGTTTTCTCCTTCCTTTCCCTCGTCTAGATCCAAGACTAGAAGGCTGGCCACTCATGTCTTCACCTTTTCCAACAACCTTTATCATTGGAACCTACATTTATTTTGTCACTTCCTTGGGACCCAAACTCATGGAAAATAAAAAACCTTTCGAACTAAGGCAGATAATGGCATTTTATAATTTTAGTGTGGTAGCCCTGTCTTTATATATGACTTACGAAGTAAGTACTACTTTTATTTCTAATGCATTTATATATTTTGTTTCTCTAACAACTAACTTTTAATAAATGTATTAATATAATTACCACTCTACAACAATCAGAATAATAGCTTTTTGAGAATTGCAATTATATGCCTCCAACCAGTATGCTAAACAAATTGAGCTGATATTTGAGAAAATGTAGTAAGTCATACCTAGAAAGAAAGATTGTGAAATATGTTATGTGTCATTATATATAATTTACAAAATAAAAAATTCTCATAACTTATTTCATTTCCCTGGGCTGTAGCAGGTAAAGCAGACTACATGTTTTTTGTAGTCTGTTGTAATATTTTCTGTCCTACTATGTGATAGTCAACACTGATGTTTCAAACACTGTATAGAATATGTTTACTATGGAATAATCTTCAGTTAGATCTGCCTTTTAAATGATAGAAGTTAATAAAATCTAATTTAAGGATCTTCATCCTTTAAAAAAGAACCAAAACCATCCAAAACCCAAACCACAGAAATCTTTAGCATTGATTTTCCCCCCTAATCTCAAAATAGCAAATGCTTTTTCTCTCAGAAGGTATGTTGGGATTCTGCTGTAGTTCATAGCTGAAGTAAACATTAGACTTTAAGACTGGAAAGCCTGATGAGTTGTATAGTGTTATGGGTTGAATGACCTAAAAATCCTTAACCATAAATGGTATAGACTATGTAGAAGCTTTAATTTAGAACCTTAAACCATAAGATAGCTAAAGTCTGTTGAGTTTCTTTTTTTGTTGTTGTTGTTGTCGTTGGTTGGGTGTTTTTGTTGTTAGTTTTTTGGTTTTGGGATTTTGGTTTGTTGTTTGGTGGTTGGTTTTTTCCCTTGGTTGTTTTTTAAATTGTAGCTACTTAACAATACTTTTGTATGAATGATAGCCTTATATGTGCTTGGTGAAGCATCGCTATGCTAGTACTGACCCTCTTTGTGTTAAATCTGACTATTTCAGGTTTGGCAAACTGGTAATGAAAAGTTGTCAGATTATTGTGCCGAATTGGCAGGATACCCTTCTGTTAGCCAATTTGCATAAATTTCATCATGAATTACAGTAAGCTGCTTGACTTTTCTTTTAATGGCACTGTAAAGGCAGTGCAGCAGCAGCTACTTTGTGTCATGACAGGTGTGTGGAAAGTGGTGGGCAAGATGCACACATTTGCTATTTAGACTTTGTTTTGAAAAATTGCCAAACTTCCTTTTGTGATTTGATGCCAAGTTTGATTTTTGGTTATAACAAAAAAAAAAAAAATTAAAATATTAAACTTCTATTAGTGTCTGGCACGGTATTTAATTAATCTGCTGTCAAGACTTCCATGTTACAATTCCATTAAAGAACATGTGGATAGAGTGTAACAGACTGAATTTCTGCTATTGTCTGGTGCTCAGCAAAAAGCTGATTCTTTCCCTCTTTGGAACTGAGCCATTTGGTGGGTGCTTTAGTATTGTGCTGTCTTGGTGGTATTTCAAATCTCGTTTTATTTAAGCAACTGATTCTTTTAGGAAGATAAACGGACTAAAACTCTCCATCTGTTAAAAGAGCTCAACCTTCTATCGTGCATGAGTGGATGATGATGATTGATGGATGAGAAGCACTCTTCAAACAGATGCAAGACACAGTAGTAATAGTGGCTGGCAGGGGAATGACCCAAGTGCTCTTGTCCGAGCCTTAATATATTCCAAGAGAAAAGATTAAATTACATTTGCTACACAGAGTCCTTTTGTCATTTGTGTGCTCTCAATTATAAAACTCTATCTTCTCATCACTCGTATCAGTGAAAGTCTAATTGAATCATGCAGTTTAAGCAAAATTTTAGAAACTAAGATACTAAAAATATAGTGCATATTGATTCCTTGTCTTTAATGCTATTAAGCCATATTTTTCTGTTGTGCTGGTTTTATTTTCAGTATTAAGATGGTTGGCAGTGATAGCAATTTTCAAAAAATTTCAAAATGTATTATTTGCTTTTGTGGTCTGGTTTACAGAGCAAGTTGCTTTTTTTAACATTGGTTTTGAGATGCACCTGTTTCTCCTTTTTGGCTACTAATGCTGAAATAATGGATGTAGGAAGAAAGTTCTTGTCTATAGGCATGGTCCTAGAATTAGAAATTCATTAATCTGCAACAACAAAGGATTTTATGGTAGCTAGCCTACACGGAGGTAGATGATTGACAAGACTGCTGATGCAACATGGTTTTAATATTGTTTTCCCCTCCTGATTGCAAAAGTAATCCAAAATTAATGAATTTTTCAAAAGACATAAAGTAAATCTTTGCCTTTTCCCTTTTCTTTGCTATAGTTTCTTATGTCAGGCTGGGCCACAGGGTACTCATTCCGGTGTGATATCGTTGACTACTCGAGGTCACCTACAGCTCTAAGAGTAAGTTTCCAAACACAAAGCCGAATTGTTATGCTACACTGACTTTATTTTTAGACATGCTTTTTGAACAACCAAATGAGCTGCTATAGAGTGGAATGCACTAAATGGGAATGCCCTCTTGTATAATGTAGAGCATGTGAGTTAACTGGAGGGGTTGATTGTTTGGGAGAAGGAAAGAGGCAACGTATGTGTTGGCATGTTCTTCTTAGTATTAAAATTCCTTCAGGATTAAAAAAATATTTTGTGTTTTTTAAAGAAAAACCAAACAAAGCATACATTTAAGTATGTCAACCTTATGCCACCACTTACTCATCCCTATACTTTCCTCTTTACTTATTTTTTCCTGCAGCTGCTTAGTTTTATTTACAACTATTATGATTCTGGTTTTTACTCTTGCAGATGGTACGAACTTGTTGGCTTTACTACTTTTCCAAGTTCATTGAATTACTAGACACTGTAAGTATTTGTAGCCTAATAAAGGAAGTAGTGATGTTTCCCTTTTCACAGTAGATGAACTGGTGCTGTTGGGGGCTGGGGACATAAATTGTTTTTTATTTAACCCTCCAATCTTCAATCACTGGAATACCGTCAAGATGTTTACCCTTATTATCTCATCTTATTTTCCCATTACACTGTAATTCCTTGATTATTACGAAAAACGTTAATGAGGGAACACACCTTTAAAAATTTAGGAAGCCCTGATAACTTGTCTGTTTAACACTAACCTGTTGTGCTCTGGCAATGCTTGTCTCAACACTGCAGATAAAAAAACATTGTTGATCACGCTGAATTTTTTTTTTCCACGTCATTTTCAGAATTTATCTTCCACATTTGGAATATTTCCATCAGCAGCCCTGCATACAGCATACATTGCCATACCTTCCTGCTCTGCATTCCTGTGTATGCATTGGGGGTCAGGACAATAGATGTGTTTGATATCAGGCTGGCACTCCCAACATGTTTCAAAGAAAGTCCGAGCAGCAATGCATTGAAGCAGAGTGCAGACCTCACTCACCACCAGCAGCCATCTGCCTTCCTCTCTTTCCCAGACTGACACCTGGTAGGGTTGGTTTAGCTGTTTTCAAACCACCTTCGGAGTGTTGGAATCAGCTGCGATTTTCATTTGCCCTATTGTTTGGTGCACAACAGTGGTGATTCAGGAGCTGACTCAGGAGTTGTTAGGATGTTCTACACCCTGTGAGCAAAGTTAGCCATCTAACTTTCATCTGCAAACACTCATGATTCAGCACCGGAAGATCTTACTGACTGAGCCAAATGGAATGGTAATGGAAGGGCCAGGAATGCTAAAACAGGAACAGCCTGACAAGTTTAGCCCTCTATTTACCTTTACTACCCATTGGTTAGACTGCTCCTTTTTAATTAGACCTGGGTTTGAAAAAAAATTTTTTTTAAATTTGTTTTGTTTGAATCCACCTAATCAGGTACTTGTTTCTCAGCAGCTTTTTGGTTTTATTGCAAAAGTAATTTCTCAGCTGTATTAAAGTCAGCTGTTTCCAAATGTTTTCCCTGGCACACCAGGGTGTTCATTTGCTTGCTATTTGATACTACCCTTTGCATGACCTGACTTCTCCTTACACAGTTTTCTTGCTCTGTTTTCCCTTGACACTTCTCTCAATGTCTGTCCTTTAAAATGTGGCCCATTAATATTGACTAAGAATACCTACATACATTCTGTCCAATTTTGCCTTTTTCCAAGGGTATCTAAGTCAGTGCTCATACTAAAGTGCTATTTCTCCAACTTAATATTTTCTACTGTTTCTATGTGTTGCTAATCCTTTGGTTAATTTTCTCAAATGGCCTTGCATTAGTATTTCAGGGGACTTAAAATCTGATGCTTCTAGATACTTCTCAGTCCAAGCAAGTCCATCTTACACTGTCAGTTGCACACATAGATGATGTCTCAACCATGGACATTTGCTTTCAAAGCTTGCCCTGACTTTTAAGACTCCATAGGCGGATTTTACATACTAGTTTAATTTTTGTTTTTAAAAATATTCTGGATCTCCAGCGCCTCAGTTTCCCTTCTTCTCCCCAGACTGCAGCTGTGAATAATTCTTAAATGTATAGTAGTAAGCAACCAGCAGTGGTGCATACAGTTTTCTCTAAGTATGTTGCGCTTGATTATCTCCTGTAACATTCTGTTCATTAAAAATCTGTTTCAGATATTTTTTGTGCTGCGTAAGAAAAACAACCAAGTTACATTCCTGCATGTCTTTCATCATTCCATCATGCCATGGACCTGGTGGTTTGGAGTCAAATTTGCTGCAGGTAGTAGAGAGAGAGTTTAAGTTGTAAATATCTTCGGGTAGTAAAAGTTAACTACACTAGACAAAAATATTTAAAAACCAGAATTAAAAATCTTGCAAACATCAATGCTTTTAAATTTAGATGTCTGCAGTATTTCATGGAACAAGTGAGATCACCACAATTATTTATAATGGGTGGGGAGTACTCATTTTCCCTATTTGACAGCATTTTGTGCAGTGTTGGTTTCTCATGAGGGGGGGGGAGGTGCAGAGGAGAGAGCTGTATGTAAGCAAAGAGCATTATTATGTGAAAAGGAGATGTGACTGAAAAAATCAGAAGTGCTAGGGGAGATGTATGAGGCAGACAACTGTTGAAACTACTTCAAAGCCACTTGTCATCTTGAAATATAGGAAATGAGTTGGAGGCGAGGACTGTTCTCTTTTTTTTGCCTGTTTAAGAAATTACTCAGGCTTTGTTACAGTTATTTTTACTGGCTTTAGGTAGCATAACTGGGGTTTATTTACATCGAATATTTTGGCTTTCACAAAACTACAGACATATTTTCTGGACCTTAATTACTATAGAAACTGAATTGTACTAATTGAAAGTCTGTGTCCATTTCTAGCTTACCTTCACTTCTCATTTCCTGCTTTGTGTGTCTATGCATGCATCTTCCTATGCTATATTATTAGTGTGCACCACTAATAAATATAGCTTGCTGTGAGAATAGCCTGATAAGCACAGAGTGGAGAAATGCCCAGTCATTTAGTAGTCCATCTCTAGGAGGGTATGGGGTTTTTTTTCAGGAGTTTCTACTGACAAATAGGGATGTTTTGTATGTTTCTTCACTCACGTTCTCTAGTATGTTTTTTTTCTCCCAGAACATTGGTGACAAATTGATGAAGAGAACCATTGCTTATCAAATGAAATTTGTTAAATTTCAAAAATAAGACCTGGAAGCAGTCCAGAAAATTTGTAGATGGCATCTTTTGAACATGTCCAGTGTGCAGACTTTCCTAGTGTATAAAAGGATATACTTCTGCTGTTTTTGTTGAGTTTTTGTTATTAGGAAGCTGGTGTCTTGATCATGTCTTTCTCAAATGTTGCTGGTATTTTAAGTTAATGATGAAATGGTGAATAGTTTTCTCAGCATACAGTTTGGTGTGTTTATAGATTTGCAAAAACAAACCCCAGCAACTAACAGTCCCTCCTCTTCAACCTTGAAAAGTTTTTTCCATTTATAGATGATTAACTTTCTGCCTTTTATCTGGACATCGGATCGGTATACCAGCTACAGGCTTCTGAGTTTGCATCAGATTCAAATTTCCCATGTGATAATTTGACAAATACTTTCAGCAAAATGTGCAAGAACTGTTTTGTTCTCTGCTAATAATAGTCCCCCATATTCATGGAGAGCTGTGTTTATTCCAACTGTACTGCTTATCTTTATACTAATCTTTTCAAATATTGTTCTGTTTGATAACTTATTTTTTCCCAAGAATTTTAGTCCTGCTGCTGATTACCTTGTATTCAGTTTCAGCACTGTTTGTCCTTCTAAATAGTGGCATTGATCAAGTTTTCAACCTGTTTGAAAAAAAAAAAAAACAAACAAACCAAAACCCCAAACAACAACCAATGGCTTTGAATGGAGATGCTGATTATAAACAGGGAATTGTAAAATGGTGCTTATGTATGGTGTTGCTTTTCGGAGCATATTTTTGTGCTGCTGATTAGGTTGGGTTTTTTTTCTCTGCTTTAACTATTTATTTTTTCTTTTGAATAGTCACTGTGCAAGCCAAAAAAAGTATGTATGTTTGAACTGTAAGAACACTCAAATTATTTTTAAAAATACAAATAGCTAAGTTTCAAAGTAAGTTTGCAATTGCAGCTGAAGGACTTATGATCTATCAAGCTGGAAGATTAGTGTAAGCTACTAAACTCACAAAATAAGTTTTATTTTTAACTTGAATGATTCTTAATGGAAAATTTTTTTTCCCCCTCACTAAATGTCTGCTTTCATGTCATCTTGTTTTCTTCCCAATGCTCAGGTTTTTATGTTCATATTTCTTATAAAAATACTTTCTGTCTGCCACTTCTTGGATCATTTTTACCTATAATTTCTTCTGTTCATAAAAATGAAATTACTTTGAGCAGGAACATCTAACTACACAGTTGATCCAATGGAAAAGGAAGTATTTCCTTACTTGCTTTGTGAACTATTCGTATCTTACCGTTTCAGTCATGAGTTTGCGTTTTACTTGGCCTTAAATTTCCTTGTCACTGTAACCATGCTTTTGAGGTGGACTATGGATTTGTGAGACCCTCACTTAGGTCTTGATTCCAAAAACTTACTGTCTGAAACTGTGATTCTTTCCCTGGGAATCTGGAATTCGGTGTTGGGGAGAGAATAATTACTTATCCTCCAGAGCTTTGCAAAGTTTGTCATAATGTCTAGAAAAGAGGTGTAAAACAGGAGGAGCACGGTTTCTACTAAATTCTCTGTATCTCCATCATGTATGTGTTTTAATTTAAAAACAAAACAAAACAAAAAAATCCCAAAGAACAAAAAATTCCATGGAAACCTTTTACAGATAATTGGATCAGGTAGGTTTTATTGCTGTTTTGGAAATGCTTAGATAAGTCCTGAGAAAGGAAACTGATATGATCCCTCAGAATTGATGACAACCCAGTTCAGGTTAAATACCTTGAGGGTTAATTAGAGTCTGTAGATTTTGTGGTATGTGTTTTTTCTACCCTGACTCAAAACAAACTACTAGGACCTGAGGTGGCTTTTTAAATAACCTGATGCAATAATACTACTATGTTTTCTTTTTTCTACAGGTGGTTTAGGAACATTTCATGCTTTGCTGAACTGTATTGTCCATGTTGTCATGTACACTTATTATGGAATCTGTTCTTTGGGACCAGCCTATCATAAATATTTGTGGTGGAAAAAATACATGACAACCATACAACTTGTGAGTAATTTTCTGTTTGACGTACACACCTCTCAGACATCTGATTGTGGCTGACAGACTTAATGCAATACATTTCTACTTCTAGTTATGTTCACGTGTGTAGCTTACAGTTGGTACAAGGTTTACTCATGTTTTAATTGAGTAAAACAAAAGTTGTGAGCTCCCCTCAGTTATATACTTAAAACTGCTGACTTCAGTGTTCACTATAATCACAGATTTAGACACAGGAGCTTTTCAGTTATACAGTACTTGGTAAATATATTTACAAAACTCATTGCTTGCACAAAAATGATTAAAATGTAAATTTACCACAAGAAAACATAATTAATGTACAGAATACACAATGGGACTAGTAGTGAGGAAAGGTAATAAGTTTTTCTTTAGAATTTCATGTCCATTCTTTCATAGAAAGTGTTATGTTTAGAGAATTTACCTCTAAATTAGAGCATTAAAAAACACTCTTGCAGTAATTATGTTAGGTGTTTTATCAGCCTTAGATCACTTTCAAAAGGTTATTGCTCTGGGTGCTTTTTCAGGCCCAGCTTTTTTAAGAGCTGAATTTTCAAAATTCAGCTTCTGGCTAGTTTGACCTGAGCAAGGATGCTGATGGAGGAGGGAAAGGAGCAGGGAGAGGTAGCCATGGCTGGCTGCTTGCACCAGGTCTGGTGTTAGTAGAATAGTTCATGTGTAATTCTGAACAATTTAGCTTGAATATTTATAACTTAAAGTCTTTTTGTCTCAGAGGCACTACCAGTGGATTATTAACTTGGAGTTCGTGTGGAAATTCTTTTTTAAATCCTCCATTAAATTGTTTTTTGGGACCTGCAGACCTTTGTGGCACAGGCTAGCATGCAGGAAAGGTGGGAATTAATGTTCACCAATCCTATAATGGTTGCCCTTTTTTTTTCTGGCTTATTTTTCTAAAGGAGCCTCCAATTTGTCACTGGTCAAACATTGTATGCCTCCATCTTTCTTCTCTGAACTGGCTAGGGCAGACTCCCACTCTCCTAGTATAGGTTTCTCAGTGCTGCTTGTAATTTAGTTTGTCCCCGGACTTTTCTTGCTTTACTATGTGAAAGTGTTTTTCAGCAGAGTAACATTTTGGGAGAGTGGCTTTAAAGATGCATCTCTGTTGTTTTAAAAAGCTCTCCTCCCCATGCCGCTTTAAACTTCTGTAGTAAGTTTGTCATTTATTTTAAAAGTATTTTTCTTCACCTTTTTCCTCCAGGTCCAGTTTATTGTGATTACAGGCCATATAGGACAAATCTACATCATGGATGATTGTCCATACCAGTATCCAATTTTCATGTTTATTATATGGCTATATGGCTCTACGTTTTTAGTCTTGTTTCTCCACTTCTGGTACCATGCTTACACGAAGGGACAAAGACTACCAAAGATGGCAAGAAATGGGATCAGCAAAGATCAGTGAAACAAACTCTTGTCTCTAAAACAAAAGAAGGGTATATGTCAAAGTGGAAACTTGCACTACTTGACAATCAAGATATTTAGGTGGACACACTACATGGTGTATATTTTGTACGTTTTCTTCCAAAACAGAATTTGTATTTTTGCCGTAAGTTATTTGGGATTCAGAATTTTGGGGGGGTGGGGGGCAGCACCATGAATCTCTGAAAAAAGAAAAGGCATTTTTTCAACAACTTGTTCATGTCTATTCTATAAGAAATCAATGGATAAATGATCTCTATCTAGAAGATGCATGAAAATGAAGATATTGGGAAAATTGAAATGTGTATGACGAGTACTGAGTACTTTGAACACTGAGCGGGAAAAATTACTTCACCTTAAATGTTACAAGTTGCTAAGACTGTCAACTGCATTTTATTAAAAGAATGAATCTTCAATAAGTACCATTTATAGAATCTAAAGCTTATTATTAATATAGTTAATACATAAACATTCTTACATGTGTTTACAAACTATGTTACTTTAAAGAAAAGAATGTCTGTTAATCTGTCAAGGTATGGCGTTTCATTTTAAGATCATAAATTTTTGGATATAAGGTCTTTCACTAAGAACTTAATTCATTTCACATTCTGCTCACTTGAACGTTATTCTAAATGTTGGAAACCTAATTTGAGGATTATCTGAGCTGTCTTGTAGCGTAATGATCAAAACATGTTACTGATTTGTTCACCGAAGTAGCCTAATGTACTTATTATCCAATGTATCTATGGATATATTTTCATTTTGGTAGCCTAGGCTGTTGGGGGGGGTGGGGAGGGTAAATCTAGTAATTCAATAGCCAAAATTTTAGTCCTTGGATAAGTTTTAAAAAAACATTTTTTGATTGAAGTCAAAATGTCACCTAGCATGATTGTACTGTACTCTATATTCTTCCATCTCCATTATCTATTGAAATACATGCCTATAAAGATTTTATATTGTTTTTTTCATGATTATTATTGTCTGTTTTCAACAACTCAGGGTTAAAGTTTCTCCATTAATAGCACCAGTTACATTGTCTGGAACTAGGCAAAAAGATATGTGCCGTTCTCTGAGTTGCTGAGAGTGGCGCAGGCACCGGGCATCACTCCAGTCTGTGTGGAATTAACCATGGAAAACAACATACTGGTTAGGCAGATTCTTAGGGTCACACATGTATAGCAATCAAAGCACCTAGCTATTTGTATGCAATTTTGTATTCATTTGTACTGTATGAGTTTAAGGAGTTGGTGCATGTAACCGACCTGTAAATGAAGAGTTAAAGGTTAAAAGTACTGTTTTCCGTTATGTTCACTACTAACAGAAAAGAAGCTTGAGATATTTGCTTTGTGCTTGATCTGATCTGTGCGATTTTCAAATACCTAAAACTTCAAGGCAGGTTTTAATTGCCTCCCTGTTATACAATTCCAAGAAAGTAAGTCTTGCCACATGAATATTTTTATGTGAATATGACATTTATGGTGCATTGTTAATGCTAAAAGAATTTAAATTTAATCTTGGACATGCAGATGATGCAAATGATTTCTTATGAGATTACATACAAGTCGTCATTATAAAACAAATAAATTTATATTTCCACTATTTACTCCCGGTAGCTATCAACTGTCATGGCAGATTGAAATTAGATCCCAGAAAGGATTTGGATGGCTTGAGATGTATATTGCGACCCCTGAATTTTAGATGCTTGATCCTAGAATCCTCAGTGCCGAGTTTCAGCTCCCTGGCAGTGCATGCAGGGAGGTGCTTTAGCAAAGAATCCAAGATAGCCGGGGTGCTGATCAGGGGCTACACACGTTTCCAGAGGGAAATGCAATCGCTGACTCTCCGTCTCAAACCCTGCTAGCCTCCAGTGTGTGTGTGGATGCCCTTGGCTTCCAAAGTAGGGGTCACCTCTGAAGGGCAGAGACATATTGCTGTTTTTTCAAACAGCTGGAAAGGATTTGCCTCCGATTTATTTCTAAAGTTTGAATGGTGCCTATTTTTTATATAAATAATTTCTTAACTAAGTACTGATGAAGAAAGTGGGGCAACTTGGTTCGTTTAGGCCTTCTTGAGCCTGTGGGTTCAAATGTGTTTGGGAAGTGCAGGCCTTTCTGGGAAAGGCTGTAATAGCTACTCTGTAGTGTAAGCTGGACGATGCTACCCAGATGCTGCTGCTTCTGGGGAGAAGTAGGCATTGCTGTAGTCTTACAGATGACCCCTATGCTGGTAGGGCAAGTCCTAGTTCTGGTCTCCAATTTTGCAGTTATCCCTCCACTTCCCCCGCTCCATAAATATGCATGGAGGAATGAATGCATCCTGTCCGGTGTGCGAGGGACCGGATGCTTTTTTTGTCGGTTTGAGACCGAGGTGTGCAACTGGTTCTTCAAACTCACTTGGGCGTAAGTAGGAGCTGAGAGTACACACGGTCAAAACTAAGTAGCTCTGCACATGGACAGGTGCTGAACAGAAAGGAGCCAGGAAAAACTTTCAAGTCCAGCAGCTGTACGGTAGCCAACTGCCTCTGGAGTCAGTTGTTGGAGATTAAGAATTAATAAGTAGGAGCAGAAACCGGAGATGCTAATCATTCAGTGGGCTGTCAGCAAGTACCATTTCAGATTCCTACTGCATAATTTCTTGCACACTGGTTTAGTTTTCTGTAAGTTATGAAGTGTTTGGAGAAAAAAGATGCATTGTTTCAGTGAGTTGTATGGATGTATCCTAAGAGGTTGCCTAGAGCATAACTATGCTAATGACATCAGTACGGAACGTTATTAAACCCCGTCCTCCTGCGCACAATGCTGCACCCTGTGAGAATCTCGCAATCTGAATCTGCACAGTTTCATTTTTTTCCTTCCTAAAAGTTGTGCATCTTGCATGCGGAAATGTATTACACGTTAAGCGTGATGCTAGAAAGAGGAGTGCAAGAGTCAGCAAAATCGTTAACGTTAGTGAATGTTTAGCAATGGCACGAGTGGGGTTGAAATTTTGTATTCTTTGTATTTGATAAACTTTGGTGGAGCAGAAACACTAGTATTACTAGCTACTGACACTGAGCCCTGAAAATTGGGGATTTGTTGTTGTTGTTTGGGTGCTTTGGGTTGGTTTCGGTACGTTAATGAAAAGGCTGTGTTCTCTTCATCAAGGTGGCAAATCACCAGACGGTATTTCATTGTCCCGACGCACCTCCTGACAGGAAGCACAAACAACAACACGTAGTTAGTGTCCGTTTTAAAAACGAAGTAACGCAGCTCCTGGAAAGCCGATTGCCCCAGAGGAGCCGTTCCCGCTCTGCCTGCGCGGCCGGAGTCGCCTTTCTCCTCCGGTACTCCTCCTGCGCCCAGGCCCACGCAGCGCCGTCGTTTTCTGCCTTCCCCCCCGCCCCCGCTTCGTCCCGCGGCCGAGGAGCGCGGCCCCGTG